AAACCGGCCAATAGTTGGCCAATTCGGCCGGGTCCAGAGCTGGTTTTTTCAAGAGTGGGCAGACCATCGCTTCCTTGAGTGCCCCCGGGAACTGCCCCTCTAAGAGGGACTTGTTGATAATCTCCTTTAGGGCATCTTGAAACCCCTCATGGCCCACTTTAATGAGCCAAAACGGGCACGGATCAAGCCTGCATGTGGTTGGGCAGTCATAAGCAATCTGTCAACTTCCTCCAGGCTGAGCAGGCTGAAATGATCCAAAACCGGAGCTAAAGACATATAATGGGCCTCGAGTTCACTCACTGTTTCAACTGTGGCGGGGAGGACTTCTGGTTTCAGCGCCTTGTGAATGAACACACTCCATTGAGCTCCGATGGGTGTGATTTTGGATTGAGGCGGCAGGGAGGGGATCAGACGCTTTCAATCTCCCCCTGAAGCTCTTGTAGGGAGCTTCTAGCCTGGAGTGCTGAAGGAGCTGCTCCTGAAGCCATGGCTTGGGGATCAAGGCTCTTTTCAGCTCCTTAAGGTCCCGCTGCCCCAAGGCCAGCAATGGCAACCAGAGACTTTTACTGGACCCTACGGGAAGACACCGAGCGATTAAAAAAGTGAGTGAAGAAGTTTCAAAAGAAAGACAAACGCAAAGAGGGTGGAGGAACTGACAATGAGACGGCAAAGCTCCATAGAGAAAGGGGGGGGGACTCTCGGGAGGAAGAACCGTACCCTACAGCATAAAAAGCAGCGAAATGGGAAGCAAGCCAATATTAAGCTGTTAGAAACCCACCCAGCCCAAGCAGATTGCAGCAGGACCTGATATTCATTGCAGAGAAAAAGCTTAGAACTTTTAAAAACTTTTACCTTAACGTAAACAATGACGCAGAGAAGGTGGGAAATGGTGCCCAGAGGCAGAGGCACCACAGGAAATGCCAGCACAGCATCACCGGTCACAAGACCGGAAACTACCATTGATATAGCTGGTACGATTTCTGAAGCCTTGCACCCCCTACTGGATCAGCTGACAAATATCAATAAGAAATTTGATGATATGCAGAAGGAGCTGAAGGAGACCAAAGTTAAATCAGAGAAGACAGCTCAAAAGCTAAAAAAGGTTGAAACTAAGACCAAAGAAATGGATCAAAGAATGGACATTGCAGATAAAGAAAGAGCTTCTGAAAAACAACAATTATTACAGCTACAAGTGGAAAGATCCCTATATGTTGTAAGATTCCAAGGGGTACTGGGGAAAAAAGATGAAAATTTAAGATAAATCTTAAGTGAAGCACTGCCCCCCTTGATCAACAGCAAACCTGAAATATTGCAAGCAGATATAGACATGAGCTATAGAACTTACTCAGAGTTTG